TTGGAAATAAGGTCTTTGTAAATAGGGAAGGGTGGAGTGGGTGAAGGGAGGGCTAGGAATGGGGAAAAAATAACCAAGATGAGTTATGTAAAGTTACAATTCCCAATGAGAAAGGTAATTGTGTTGTGTACCTAAAATGTACCAATAAAAAAAGCCAAACATACACACACACACACACACACACACACCCAAAAAACATGTATTACATAGCAAATAAGGAGTCCATTGGTGGTTATTTGCAGCAATTACTATATGCACAAAATTATACATTTAAAAAATGATTTTAAATGTCCATGTAGAAAATAATCTGATTAAAATTGAGCAGTGGAGCTATACAGACATCAGTCAAAAGAAGACACAAAGAGACCAACTGACATATGAAAAATGGATCAACCTTAGAAATCACTGGGGAAGTGCCAGTCAAAGTAACATTGAGTTGTTCCAGAAACAATATGGCTTTTAAAAAAGTACTAAACATTAAGCAGGGCTGGCAATGATGTGGAGAAAAGGGAAGCCCTGCACACTGTTGGTGAAATGGAAATTAGTATAGCTTTGTGGAAATCTGGATGGCTATTCTTCAAAATAAAGAACAGAACTAAAACACGATCCAGCTATCCCATTACTCAGTGTAAATGCATAAGACATGAACTGTGTATGCTCATGAGGATCCTCACCTCAAGAAATGGAAACAATCTCAGGATCCAACAGCTGATGAGTGGGAAAAAAAGTAGAAGCTGTAGAGCATTTTACACTCTTCAGGCATAAAAAGAATGAAATCCCATCACTGGGACGCCATGGGTGTAACTGAAAGTCATTGTGCTAAGGAAATGAGCCAGGTTAGAATGACAAGTAGTGAATGCTCTCACTCATTTGTGGAATCTAAGAAGTTGATGTTGAAAGAAGGGAGTTGAACAGTGGTTACCAGAGACACCAGAGTACAGGGTAGGAGGGGTGGATGAAACTTTGAGCAATGGTTATTTTGCAGACCAGGAAACTTTGGAAGGCTGTGCACAGTAGGAGAACTGTAGATCCCATTTTGTGAGAGTCATGAAGAGGTTGGATGGGCAGAATGTGAGTACACACTCAAAGAATAGAGAGTGTGGGCCTTCCAGAGAGATGGAAGATGGAGTCTAGAGCCTGGGTATTTCTGTGTTTTGGGAGCGCACATCTGTAAAATTTGTAAATCTCCCAAAAATGCTGACTTCATTCACAGAAGAAAACTCAATGGCCCACCGAAGGTAGAAAGATCATGCGTCACTTTGCAAGTCGAAGCATGGCCCATTGTATAGCAGAAAGGCCAGGGCCCAGCCTATTGTGTTTTTCATGAGTTATGTAGATAACAATTATTTACTGTATAATTGCAAAATAAGATGACAGAACTTTGAAAGACTTCACTGTAAAGAAATGAAAACTATTTTAGGAAGCAGACTTTTTAAAACTGATTTAAACTTTACAGGAGTTATACATGCATAGATACAACTCAGGGTAATTGATTCATGTGTAAAATGTTTACTTTCCATTTTCCTTTGTCAATTACATTTCGTTTTTAAAGTACAATAACTGTCTTGGTCCCCTTAGGCAGTTTAATGATTTCTTTCCTAGGAGAGTGAGATGAGCTAGTCTGTAGGTATTCTCAGGAGAATTCCCCAGAGAGCACAGGTTTCTGTAATCATCTCCAGGGTGTACTGTAAAGGGCCTGGGATCCCAACAGAACCCAAGATGACATCTTTCTAGAAGTACATGTTATACTTCATGCTCCACTAGGTGTCATTTCTCCACCTGAATGAGAGTCATTGCCTCTCCACACAGACTGCTTCTGACTGAGGATTTACTGGGAGGTAGGATCCTAGGTCAGGGAAACACTTAAAGTGAAAAAAGTTCTTGATGGACTTTTAGATAATAAGTCCTTTGAGAAAAGGTCTACAGACCGTGCAATGTTTAGATGCATTTCTGAGTATTATGAGAGAGAATGAATCTCTTGTCTTACTTATTTTATATATAAGGAAAAGGAAAGTGATTCTTCCAGTGGCACAGAGAGCATCCATGATAGATTGGAACTTGATCTATGTTAATGTTCTGTCTCACTTTTCCCTCCCTGCCTTAAAGCAGGGGGAACATTTTGTCCATCGACTGAGAGAGGGGTCTTCTCTGAGAGTGAGTCTCCATGGAAGTTTTTGTGATTTCATAGTTACTATTCTGGATTGACTCTTCTTTCTATTCCAGCAAACTGGTAAGCTTCTATAGCCCATAAACATTTGTTAGGAATGTAATTTATGGGCCAGGGATTTAGCTCAGTAGTTTTGCCGACTGCTGCGCAAGTGCAAGGACCTAAGCTCGATCCCCAGTACCAAAAAATAAATAAATAAATAAAAATGTAATGTATGCAAAAGCAGGGGCCTAACTATAGTTATTAAAAATTGTTTAAAACTAGAGATGTTTTCAAAAATTAAATGGTGAGGTGAACCTGGGTTCCAAATATCAAGATATCTATCAAATGCATTTCTGTGATTCACAACAAAATATACTTATTAACCTCCTCCAAAATGAATAAAAATAGAGAAAGATGATGCTTTCAACAATTAGTGACATCTTTCTCACTGTATATCTCCAAACAGAGACACAACAAATGTAATTCTTCATTAAAATACAAAATGGTTTAAATGACCTAGCAAAATCTGAGTTCCTTATTCTGGGAAGACAGTTTTAATCCTTGGAGCTTGGATTTATCCCATAAGCTCTCTGCAATCTTGAGGGTTAACACAACTTTTCAGTTCTTTAGTTTCCTTGTGGGTCATGTACAAATATTAGCTATACACGTGCCATTACTGTATAAAGCACTTATCCTTAGTTGTAGAACACAGTACATGGTAAAATAACTGTGTTGACATGATGAATCTTCCCTCTTGTTTATGACTTAATATGTTTACATTCATTGAGGTCATTATGAAAATGAGGAAAGGGAATTTAGAGGTGGAGGAAAGGGGGTAGGAGTGAGGAGGATGGAGATTAGAAACAAAGAACCAAGCTGTATGGTGTACAACATGGACCCACTCCCCAAGATGATTGTAAAGTGCATGTACTGCAAACACATAGTGATAAAAACATTTTAAAAATGAAAATTTTAGACTAACATAGTTGGGTATTTTCAGATTGGTGAGTATGGTACCTTCATGAGATTTGCTCTTAAAATACACTTGCTAAAATTTTACGGGGAAAGGGTAGTAGAAAATAGTTATTTATTGATGTAGATAATTCTAAAGGACACAATTTTACTAAGAAATTTTACATATCACACAAGATCTGATTCAAGCAAAATATTATAAAATAATTGTACCTTCAATCAAGGTAAATTCTACTTGATTTGATCCCACCTGACACCCAGTTCACGATACAGCTGATGGGAGACAGGAACACATGTCTGCCCTGTGGGCGGCAGTTCTCCGTGGTGAGGATGGGGAAGTCAGCTTTCACTGTATCCTGAAGAGGTGCTTGGTCTGATAGACGCCTCTGCACAGTTATCTTCAGGTAATTAAATTGTGCACATCTCCGTTTATAAATGTACATGTTGACAAATCACCTACATGACCCACTGCAATTCTTCTGGTTGGACACCATATAATTCTATGTGCAAGTAAGTGGAATAAATTTGATTTCCAAGAATAGGGACACAATGACAGAAATCATATTGTACTTATATTTTCCAGTTTTAATTCAATTTCTCTGTTTTTGTAATTTTTTAACTTTGATATTTACTTCATGTGATTTTTTTTGGTCCTTTAAGTTTATTGGTACATTTTAGGTATAGAATATGATGAGATTCATCATTGGGAATTTGTACCTTTACATGATGTATCTTGTTTCTTATTTTCCCCCATTCCCCTGCCCTTCCTTCCACCCCTCAACCACTCCCCTGTTTACAAAAACTTTGTTTCCATTTTTTCCTTTTCTCATATTTATTCCTTTCCCTTCCCCTACCCCTCCCACTGCTCCTTCCACTTGGGCCTTATCTTCCTTTTTCACATTATCTATTCTACATTTTGATCCTAATTTACACTTACAGTTTCTCAAACCAGAGAAAATGTTTTTACATGTGTGTTCTATTTATTTAATTTAAGAGTATGGCCTCATGGTCCATCATAAAAGATAGGATTAGAGGTCCCATTTGACCCAGTTCTTCCACTTCTGGGTATTCTCACAAAAGAATTAAAAGGATCATACCACTGCCATATATGTGCATCTATGTTTATAGTGGGAGAGTGTGTAACAGCTAAAACCAGGAAAGAGCCCAATTGCCCATCAGCTGGTGAATGGATAAAGATATGGGGTTTTTTACAAAAGGGAGTACTACTCAGCCATAAAGAATGAGAAACTAGAGACATTTATAGCTAAACGTATGCACCTTGAGGTCATACAATTAAGTCAATTTCTCTGCTTTTCTATTACTCTTTCTCATTGCTATAGTGAATTTAGAGGTTCTGGACAGCACTGATGGAGAACAGGACAGAGGTGACCCAGTTCCTCCTGCTGGGACTGACCGATGACCCACACCTGCAGGTTCCCCTCTTCATCACCTTCCTCCTCATCTACACCATCACTGTGGCTGGGAACCTGGGGATGCTCCTGCTGATCCTCCTGGACCCTTGTATGCACATTTCCATGTACTGTTTCCTGGGTAACCTGTCTCTGGTGGACTTTTCCTCCTCCTCAGTTGTCACTCCCATGGTCATGACTGTGCTCTTGACAGGAAACAAGGTCATTTCCTACAATGCCTGTGCTGCTCAGATATTCCTGTTTGTAGCCCTCATTTGTGCAGAAAATTACTTCTTGAGCTCCATGGCCTATGACCACTATGCAGCAGTGTGCAAACCCCTGCACTACACCACCACCATAACCACAAATATGTGTGTAAGTCTCCTCATAGGCTGCTATGCCATCTCATTCCTGAATGCCTGCATTCAAATTGGAAACACATTCAGTCTCTCCTTTTGTAACTCCAACTTCATTCATCACTTTTTCTGTGATGTTCCAGCAGTCATGGCTCTCTCCTGCTTTGACAAACAGGTTACTGAGCTGTTTTTTCTTTATTTTGTGAGCTTCCAAATCTTTTTTCACATTCTGGTTATTTTAACATCCTACATCTTCATTTTTGGCACCATCCTAAGGATCCACTCAGCTGCAGGATATCACAAGGCTCTGTCCACCTGTTCCTCTCACCTCACTTCTGTCTCCATCTTCTATGTGCCTGGTATTTTCATGTACTTACAACCCAGCTCCAGACACTCCATGGACACTGATAAAATTGCCTCTGTGTTCTATACTATGGTGGTCCCTATGCTGAACCCTATAGTCTACAGCCTGAGGAACAAGGAGGTCAAGAGTGCATTCTTAAAGGTCAAGCATGCATTCATTTTATCAAGGAAAAATAAGCTGTAGGATTAGATTAAAACTTTGTGAGGTGCACTATCCTTGGAGTATTTCCTTCTCAGTTCTCCAGGTGCTGTGCTCCATTTTGAGGCCCACACTAACTTTCAATTTTTGAAGTAATATTCTAACTGGTGCAAAAACCTTTTGACATGAAAAAAATTCCATGTTGAGAAACAAATACAGAGTTTGAAATATTAAGCTATCTGAGGTCAGCTGTCTAAAACATCCTTAAGGATGTTGAAATGTCCATGCATAATACAGGTCTTCCTTTGCATGCCTCACGTCATTGCAGACCTGTGTACAAGAGGCAAAAAGATGCTCATAAATAGAAGCCATGTCCACAGTGGTCTTGTGATGACAAATAGAAATGGATGTCATAGATTTTTCCAGACTTGAACATAATGTACTCTTTGTGGCAGTTAAATTTATGTGTTCATTTCGCTTGATTAAGGTGTATGTAGGTAGCCAGGAAATGATCTTACTGTGTGTCTGTGAGTGTGTTTCCAGCAGAGTTTAGTATTTAAAGCAGTGGGTTAATAAGGAAGATCTGTTCCCTTCACTGTAGGGCAAGTTTTCTCTCTCTCTCTCTCCCTCTCTGACTGTTCCAGAATCAAGGAAAGAAATACACAGAGACACAGAATTCAAGTAAAATAATAAAAGTTTACTTGCAAGCAGGCAGGACTACCAGAAACTGGTCTGGTCGGAGTCCATGCCATCCTTTGTTTTAACATTTCCTTTTATATCTTCTTTTAGCCATTACCTCATTCCTGGTGGTCTTAGTCAGTAAAATTTCTCTTTCCCTTTTATAGCTCGTTCCTATTAATGGTTATAATCACAGACATATAACAAACAGATGGCACTTAAAACACGTACATTGTCAACTACCCAAACATTTCTACTTTGTTTTTCTCCAGGTTAAATGTTATCTACAGCTAGGTTACAGGTCAAAGGGTCAGTTAGCCATCACCTTAAACAACAAGAGTTACAGGAAAGATAAAGCAAAAAGGAATGCATTACTTGTTCTACTTCAGGTACCTTAATAATTAACCTATACTTTAAATTTTCTCTATCATGACCTCTAAGGCATTCACCTTCTGAAACTCTTAGACACCAGTGAATGCCCTGTACCTCTTCTTGGTCTTTGGGCTCCCACACTGTCACTAGGCCCTTCCCCTCCTCTGTCCCAGGCCTGTAGCTCAGAATCAGTGAGCCCCTGTCACCCTTATCCTTGGGATTGTTGAGCAAGCATCAAGGGACTTCACTCTCTCCCTGTCATATCCCACGATGCCCTTAATAAAAATCTGCTTTCATATCTACAAGTATTTTGTTGATTCTTTTCATTTGAGATCCCTACCTAAACCCTAGTGTTTAAAAGTTACAATTGAACATTTGATTTGTGCAATAAATACAATATTTGTTAAGACTTCATTTTGTGATAATATGCTAGAGTCTTACTTTGAAAAAATATGATTTTTATAAAATGAAAAAGTTTCCCTTTCCATATTTCAGTGGGCAATGTGTAAATCTCGCATCTCATATGAATTAGGATTTCTTTTTCACTGTCATTTGCTACATCTAACATCTTCATATTTTAATTTTCAAAAGGACAAAAAAGATAAGAAAATGTCAGAAATATGCTCATGTTTTTAATTTATGTATATATTACTACACTTTCAGATTAAAAATTAAACCTACAAACACACCCAAGATAATGCTTCCTGGTATTTTGTACTTTTGTTCAGTTGCATTTCCCCTTACTACTGTTTTCCCCCTCTTCTTTTTCATTGATCTTTTTTTTGCCATTTACTTACAAATTCAACCAAACTCATGCCACAGGCCCTTTGCACTTGCTCTTCCTGATGTGGAGGTTCTCACTCCATTCAGTACCCTGACTCCATGGGATCCTGTCATGGAGGCCTTCCTTGTCCACCTTCTTCAGCTGCTCAGGTTCCTGTCATCAAGTAGCCTGTCCCCTATTTAGAAATCATTCTCTGCACTTGTTGTCAGCCATTCACTACTATACATGCTTATGTGTTGTTTATTTACCTTCCCCAAAGAGAATGCAAACTCCACAAGAGCAGTGGTTTTATCTGATTTTCATAACACGATGACCAGTAGCTGAAAACATCTCTATTTCACTGTAGGGTCTCCATAAATACTTGTTCAATGTATGAAAAAATACAGAGGTTTATGACTAATTGTGCAAACACACTGGGCCCTTGACACATTGGTCGTGACAGTAAATCCTCCAGAACAAAACCTTCTGGATCAACATTCGGCGCATTTGAAGAGACAATGCTCATTTCAGGATTTGCCAAAATGCTTTTCCCTACATTCTCACACTTCCCACTTGCAGACAAAAGGATTTCCTGGAAATCCCATCATCACATGGATCACCTCAAACCTCTTGTTTTTCTTTTTTTTTCCTTAAAAGCCACGACTCGTTAAGTGGCAAATGACATCGAATAACTACTATTTGATGGATGGAGGAGGCAGGAAGTGGAGAGTCGTTCAGAGCCCATGGCCCTGAAAGACCATTGAGTGCAGACTTCTGGTTCATAGAACTGTGAAGGAATCAGTTCGCATTACTGTAACCTCCACATTTGTAGCAATTGATGGCAGCAGGATAGGGATCTAATAAAACCCTGGCTGGCTCCTTCTGTGTTATGGTCTTATTCAATTATGGAACATTTGTTTGGGTAAATTCACTAGTGAAACCACTGGGGCTTCTCTCTCAGGAAGTCATCTTTACTGTTTCTTTTTCTTTTTTTTTTTACTTTCCAAAGTTTATTAAAAATCAAAGAATAGAAAAACTTTACATAATAATATGTCAATTTTATGTTCCACATCGTTGTCTGCACAGCAAAAAAATCTAAACATGGTATCTCTGTTAAGCCTGTCGTGCACGACCCTGTGGCAGCCAGGCCAATTCATCCATCCACCACAACGGGACCAGGAGCGCTGACCTTGAACCTGTGGTGCAGCCACCCCACTTCAGCACTGGCCACAGGGCTGGTCTCACTTCTCTTGAGAGGCAGGGAGGCAGGGGGCCTGCATGATGCAGCCACCTCCCCGGGCAGCTGCAGCACTGGAAAACTCAGGCTTGGTGCGTGGATGTATTCACGTTCAAAAAAAGGTAGAGAGTTGGGGTTGGGGATTTAGCTCAGTGGTTCCGCCCCCCGCCTAGCAAACGGAAGGACCTGAGTTCAATCCCTGGTACCAAAAAAAAAAAGGTAGAAGGACAGTGGATGCAGTGGCAGAGTACACTTGTGCAGCACACCTGTGTGCATGCTCTGTGCCAGCTGGCTGTGCCCTCCAGGACATTTGGAAGCACACCCAGTGGCTGCATGGCAGAGGTACTTCTCAAGTATTTGCTCTTAACAGAATGAAGGCATCCTGCTAGACAGATTCCTCAACAGAATCAATGGATTTCCTTTCTCCACATTCCTAACCAGGGCGCCACTGTCCACAGTGTCCCCAGGCCATCACCACAGGCCATGCCGGGAGCTTGACAGGCATTCCAGGGTCACACTGCTTTTGGGATTTTCTCATGTGACCACCTCTTCCCCCTAGAAAGTTATACTTCTGGCACTGTAAATGCTAGATTTGTTGTCTAGTTTGAAAGAACCGAAACCCATACGTTAGAACTTGGAGTCAAAGAAGCTGATGGTCTGCATCCCAGGGCAGCACCAAGGCATGGGGTCGGAGGCCCCAGACCTGACAAACTGCAGAGCCTCTGACCAAAAGAAAACACAGCAAATGAACTCCAACCCTCCCGTCATGGTGTTCAGGATGATGCTTATCCGACAGCAGCCAACACAGTGAACCCAACCTAGAAAATGCAACTGGGGAAAGTATCTAAACTTGTTTAAAAAAAAATTCCCTCTTCCCTTAAATATAACTTATGTGAAAATATAGATTAAAAAATATCTGACTATTGCACAAGTCATAAGTTTTCGATACTTACATAGAAAAACAGTTCTGAAGTCTCAAACAAAATGCAAGGGCAGTAACACACCGGCCTCCAGCCCTACAGCCGGGAGAGGTGGGTACAGCCTGGACCCCATGGCTCTGATGACAGGAAACAGAAGCTCCCGCCAGCTGGGTGGTTGTACTGGTGGTGGCCCCAGTTGCCCACAGGGGCCAGATGCCTCCACTGCTCACCGAGCCATAGCCACCTCCCTGGGTGTGGCCGTGGGAAACTTTCATGGACAACTTCCTGCCACTGTGCTGCTTGTGGTATAGGCAAGGGCTAGGCAGCAAGTTGAGGGGCACTGAGGGCACGGCCGGGGAGGACATGAGGTGCCCAGCTTTCAAGGATGCAGTCCTTTCCACACCAGCCTGCCTGCGAGTGACAGGCACCTCCCCGAGGGTTGGAGAAGGGCTGGCAAACCTGGTCTGATTGCTGGTCCTCATGATCCCATCGGGGAGGGAGTGGTCTGAGGCTTGGAGCTAGGCGTGGGCAGGGCAGCGGTCAAGCTGCCCATGAGCACCATGGGTAGCTGCAAGCTGAATTGGTAGATGCTGGGCATGGTGCAGGGTGCACAGGGACAAAGCCAGGTACTGGCTTAGGGTGACCCGAGCTCCTGGCCCTGTGTCTGCTCCCCACTGCACGTGCAGATTTGCTCTTTCATCTTAATCCTGTTGTCCAGATCTACCAGTGGGTGGACTCTGCTGCCCCACTTCTCTGGGATCCACCTCCGGTAGTCAATCACTTCCTGAGTCACCTTGATGATTCTTCCTACTTTCTGAGTCTCTGTTGGGGTAGGACCTGGAGAGAGGTGACATGGTGTGGCTGAGGACAATCTAGGCATAGTTGAACACCTCCTTCACCTGCACTGCCCCGTAGGAGCTCCAGCCAATGTCGTTTCCAGGCACAGCATGGACGGCCTGTACCCACTGATCATGGTTTTCAGGATCACTTCTTTGGCAATATAGGCACCTCCTTCTTTTATTCCAATACAAGTTTTCAAGTAATTAAAATTTCTTCCATACAGTTCAAAACATTC